CATTCCTCGTGTTGGCTCAACGGTGTGGGATTGCTGCCGGTGAAGTTCGTGCCCCAGTCCTTTGCGTTCTTGCCTGTGTCAATGGCCAACACTTTGCGCAGCAGTGATCGCAGCATCCTGGAACCGGCCGTTCGCTTGTTCCAATGTGCATATTCATACACGATTGCAAGATGGATTGGGTCAAGGGCCACACACTTGAGGTTCGTGCAGATACTCTGTAACATCGAGAACAGCTTCGGAGACGGCTGATCTGTGGCGAGAAACTCGACTTGCGCCAAGGCAGCTTCTGAGAAGCTGAGCTGGAACTGATCCACAACATGCTCTGCTTTCTCAGTTGCGAGGGGCTCCATCAGCAGGACGGCTCCGGTGCGACCTCGGACTGTCAGGAGCCGCCTCCATGCTGTAGCGTCAGGAAAGGGGGCAGCATTTCGGGCCGCCTTCGGTGCCCGATACGACTCCTGACCCTTGAGCTTGAGGCATGTCTTAAGCGTTGCATCCACACTCACGTACAGCCACTCCTTGTTGTCGAGAAGAACATCCAGCATTTGGTTCATCTTCGTTTGAACTGCAGCTGAGTACGCGACATCCTCAACCAGTGGCCACCAATGACGAGTGTGAGTGGGATACAGCGAGGAAAGCTGATTGCCAGCTTCGTGGGCTCGAAGATGCAATCTGGGCCAGGTAGCTCGAACCTGCACGGAATGTCGGGATGACTCGGTGCGTTTCTGTTATTTCTGGGTTCAGGAATGGAAGCAGCGTAAGGAGCCAGCAAGACATCCCGCCTGAACATGATGCATCAGTACCTCCTGGAAGAGCATCTCTGCAAAAGACTTGTCATAGTAGATGTTCCGAACTCGGCGAGCCACTATTGTTTCGCCGAGCTCCGAGACGTTGATATACTCTGGGCCACTGGACTTGAAAAGTAACCTGATCGTCTTGTCCACATAGTTGCGAGACGTAGACGGAGGTGGGACCACAGTGGCTGCCATGAGCCGCGCGCTCTCTTGAAGGTACTGACTGACTTGCAGTTGGAGCCCTGCAGCATGATCGTGCAACGCGAGGATCACCTTGATCTGCTTGGTGCCAGAGCAAACATATTGGTTGCTGTCAGTGTGGTACTTGCGGACATGGGTCAAAAGTCCCGCCTTCTTGTTGAAAACTCGAAAGGGGCACAACCTGCATGTGTGTTTGCCGCCGACTTTCATGTCCCTGTCGCC